ATCCAAGTCAAATAAAAAAGCTCCTTTGCATTCACTATTAAAAGTGGAAACTGCTTCTGTATTCCAAGCTTTTTTTTTTCAGAATTATCCACATGACTACCTTCTATCATACGTTTATTTTAGTTTCTTTAAACTCTTAGGTAGACCTAATTCTAATTTTTTTTTCTACCTTGTCCATCAGGGTAGAGATTTTAATGTGGCGTATTTTTAAAGAAAACATCTCCACATCCTGTCTGTTTAATTTGCTGTTTGACTCTCCTCTGTGCTTAAAAGGACTAATGAGCTGCTCTCACGGACATTTATTCACTACAACAGCGGATCCTTTTCTAGCAGAGAACCGTCCCAACATCTTCCGAGCCTTGCGGTGAAGTCTGCAGACAGGAAGCTCCTTTTGGTGACAAGGGAGGGCTTTCAGCTTTGAAACCTGCAGTGTTTCTCAGAGGACCACACAGCGGCCGCTCTTGGTCATCCTTGGTCTGTCGGCCAGGTATCCGAGGTGTTGAGTGTGGTCCTGTCAGTGGAGCCAAGGATGTCACCTTCACTGTTCCAGGGTCTGGCTGCACAGGCGCTTGGTTTTGGTGGGATAGCTGTGTATTTCCATGTCCCTGTAAGCTTGCTGAAAAATGCAAAGTTTCATTTTGTGGTGGGTGAAGTTAGTGGAAAAATGAACCGACAGCCTCAGTGGTTATGGAGAAATCCACAGGGGCCTCGCCTCTAATGGAACTATAAAGTCTTAGGAGCAGAACTATGAGATGAAGCTGCCTATACAATTTCAGTCAAAGTATGCAGAACGCCAACCTTACATGATTTTACAAAGACGTGACATCTTGGGTAGATAATACTGAAACCCTTGGAGCAGTGGACATTTTTTATTTTTGACCAGAAGTGGGTTTACACTGCATAAAATTGTGCTTTTCAAATTCTGTCATTGCTTTTGTATTAAATGTATTAAAATATGTTATATTTTCAGCTCAGAAACTTCCTCCTCATTAATCAGGTCCCTCTGACAGGCTGGTAACAGCTCCTGGTCCTGATCCTGACTGACGGTGACCCATTTCTGTCTTATTAGAGCTTGAAGTCGATCACTTTTTGTTGGCTTGTGTTTGTACAGCTGCCTTTTAGGGGAACCGACCACATATTATTAATGGAGCTACAATCCGGTCAGTTTCCTAGCCCAGGCATCCAAAATTTCAAGGTCTGATATTTGTTTAAAGTTCATTCTTCTCGTTTTGGCCTAAGGACACGTTGCTTCATCATTCTGAAAAGCTCACACAGCGTCAGCATCCAACGTTAACTCCCCTTCACTCTTTCCACATTTGTTCCACTAAAACTGGTTAGAGTGTTCCTGAAAATAAATTACAATTAAATAGCTTTAAATGGACGGCTTCAAACATGTTTTTTAGTGATATTTGCAAATGAGTCATTCACACCCATAACCTGGTACATTGCTGAAGTACTTTTGGCAGCAGTAGCAGCTGGTAGTCATCTTTAGTGTGACTGGCACAGCAGTTTCTGGTACTTTCTCAGCCGATGCTCTCAATCTTTGGCATAGTGAATGAACCGTTTTAGTAGAAAGCCATTTGTTGGTTTTTCTATGGATATTAAGGTGGATTTATGGCCTCTGGCCTCTTCATTGATTGCTTGTAGTCCTGGCAGTTGTAAGCTTTTACAATTTCCAAATGACCGAAACAGCAGGGGCTCTTTAGATGTGTTAAGCTCTCCAAAGTTTTGGCACCCTTTCCCAGATTTGTGCTTTTTACACATGCAGGGTTTACTCTGAAGTCATATTTGCTGTTCCAAATCATGTTCATTCAGCTAAATTCCCCAAAGCTGGACTCCAGTCCAGTTGGAGATGCATCTTAGGAAGCTTTTGGAGGGCAGTTTGATCCCACTCTTTGTTCAGAAGAGAGTTGGCCTGAATTGTTAGTAAGCACACATGGGCTGCATCAAGATGCTTCGCTGCTGGCACCCTCCAGGACTTGTGGTTGGGCTCATCTCTTCTTCTATGGAAAAATTATTTCCAAAATATTTAAGACAATTTGAATCAGAATTCATTAGAGGAAATAGTGAGGCACGACTTTTGCTGTCCATTATTGTGTTTCCTGCTCAATAGAAGTCTGTCTTGATGCCCCCCTTCATAAGGCTTTATCCAAAAACCTGTGACTCACGTTGGAGAGTGATTCATGTCCACCTGCACCTGATGTCTGGTTAAACTCTGGAGCAGATCAAACACAATCCCAGACCTTAACATTTAGCAACGCATTATTCTGGTTGGATATTTAACCACTTTTTCTATAAAGAAAAAAAAGTTAGTTGTCCAGAAGCGTATTTGTTTTTGAGTGTAGCCCCGAAATTTCAATTGGGTTTAGGTCAGAGCCAATCCAGAGGCTAAATGTTACCCTCCTTCATTCATATTAAAATCAATAAAAAATAAAGCTTAACAATTATCTTAAACAAATTTATAGCAGAGGATTATTTTCTGATAGACACCTGGTTATCTCTGTTTGTGTGGACATTAACAATAATTTTTCCAGTGGTTTCTGGTCTGTGGCCGGATTTATCCTCGAAGAGCTTGGGTTGTTCTTCACCATTGAAAATAAAAACAGTTTTCATTAAGCTAAAATTCCATCAATAGACATTAATCTATGGGCAAATCATCAAATTTAGCTGAAATAAAGGATTTAAAATATTAGTCAGTGTGTAATAAACCTATATATACGGAAGAGGATTAGGGCCACTGGAAAAAAAAAAAAAAAAAAAGTTAACTGATTTTTTTTTATTTTATTTCAGTACAGTATGGGAATTCTGACTTTAATCTCAGAATTCTGACTTTTTTCTCAGAATTCTGAGATTAAAGTCAGAATTCTGACTTTTTTTCTCAGAATTCTGACTTTTTTCTCAGAATTCTGACTTTTTTTCTCAGAATACTGACTTTTTTTATTGTCAGAATTCTGAAATTAAAGTCAAAATTCTGAGAAAAAAGTCAGAATTCTGAGAAAAAAGTCCGAATTCTGACTTTAATCTCAGAATTCTGAGAAAAAAGTCAGAATTCTGAGAAAAAAGTCCGAATTCTGACTTTAATCTCAGAATTCTGAGAAAAAAGTCCGAATTCTGACTTTAATCTCAGAATTCTGAGAAAAAAGTCTGAATTCTGACTTTAATCTCAGAATTCTGACTTTTTTCCCATGTTAAACTGAAATAAAATTTAAAAATCAGTTTACTTTTTTTTTTTCATTGGCCCTAATCCTCTTCCGTATATATAGCTTGTTTCGTCAATGAACTGATTTACTAAGACTAATAAGGTTCTAATTTATTGAAAATAATTTTTTTGATTCAATAAAAGCCTCTAATTGATTCATACCCATGCTGAGCCCATGAAGTGTCTAGCAACACTTTGAGTTTTGATGTCAACTGGTGGTTTTTCAAATGTTGCTGAACTTGTTTCATTTTCAAATGAGTTCCTAATAAATTAATCCATCCATCCATCCATCCATCCATCCATCCATCCATTTTCCATCACCCTTATACCTGCTGGGGTCACAAAGGGTACTGGTGCTATCTACAGCTGTAAGGGCGAGATCAAATGAAGTCAACTTGAATAAAAAACAAACATAAAAAATGGCTATTTTGAAATGTTAATGCAAATTCTTTTGTACAAAAAGACAACTATGACTAAAGGTTTTACAGATAAGAAGCAAATTGGTAAGAAAACCTACACAGGTTTAAGAAAAACAAAGATTATAAGACGACAGGAAGCGTCATGTAGTATTGATGTCAGGATTAAGCATAAAATTGGGTTATATTTAAAAAAATGTTTGGTTGTTATGTGTCCCTACATCGTTCTTTTTGAAACTGATGGATGAGCTCCTATTTTTGTTTGGACTCATCCCTCCCCTTCCACTTGTTTTGCCCACTTTTTTGCTCTTTACATCAAAGATGACGTCTGAGATTTTTTTTAACGCTTTTAAATGGTGTTGGTTGAACAAAACATATATCATCACCAATCAATCCCTAAAATCAGCGATGCAATGCTGTGACTATAGCTGGAGCCAAATGTAGGTCCCCTGTCCTACCAGCTGTACCGCATCCATCTTTTTCCTTAAACATATGCAGACAGTCAAAAAAAAGAAGCATTTTGATAACATCTTAAAGTGTTTGGAAAATATGCTTATTTAGTTTAAATTAGGACTAAGCAGTAGTTCTGCCTTAATGAGTCACAGCCATGCAGAGTAAACCAGACCAGTGTTGTGCACAAGTAAACTGAAAACACATCATGTGCTAGGAGCAGAGGTCAGTCGGGCGTAATAATGTTTCGTGTCTGCTTCTTGTATAAGAGTTGTTTTCAAGCCGCGGTGACTCACAGCTTACAGCTTTTATAGTGCTTCAGTTTTAGGGAGAAATTATACAGCTTGTATTAGAGCTTATGTTTATTTTTTTTCCATGAACATAAAGATGTTTGGGTGACCAAGTAACTTTGACCGGTGGTCATATTATGTTTTTAAAAAGCTGGGTGTGAGATCCTTTGTGGTCAGATTGGAATTCTGTTTTCAGATCGGCTTAATTTTTCCTCTTTAATGTGTTTGAAGCAGCGCTGCTGTTCTACAGTGTGTCTGCTGACAAGCTTCCTCTTAAAAATTTCTCATCTACTATGGAGTAGGGACTTGACTCAATCCATACGTCTTTCACGATAAGACAAGGAGTGGAAAGAATGTGGATATCCCTGTATTTGAAGGCATGATTGGGGGTATAGGCTAATGTGAAAAAAAACAAACATGGAAATTTGGACTGATTCCATCCCCATCCATCTCCCCCCACCCCTTCCTCCTCTCTCCCCTCACTCTTTCTTTCTCTATCCTGTCTGGGTTTTCAGAAATGTGTTTCTCGTTGTCTGTCCCAGCACTTAAAGCTCTCAATGTGCCTGGTAGGCATATTTTTCACTCTCCAAAACCACGCAAAGCAGGGCTTAATTCCACCTTCTTTTCCTCTCAACAATGCCTGCGTTTCCCAGAGTCGTGCTGAACTTTAATCAAAGTCCAAATGAGAAAAACACACATGAACAATTTCCATATGAGCGTGCACACTTTAAGAATGATTTTCCTATTTACAGCAGGAGGAAACAGCTCCTGTTTTTCTATAGGATCATTTCCATCTCTCAAAGGACACCTGGCCCTTTTCAATGTTATGATAACTTAATTATATGCATAAATTATACTTTCTGGTCATCTGCGTTCAGACAAAGTATTTAAGCATGCAGTATAAAGGTTGTTTTAAGGGTAAGGATTTAAATAAAAAAAACACTGTGCAACTAAATGTGATGCTTTGGATCTGGAAAAGTGGATTTAGTTTACATTGATCTATGCAGGTATTAACATTGTATGTTTTCCATTTCCAAGCATCTAAATAAGGCAAAGCAATACCAGAAATATGAGTGTTTGCACCAGATGTTTGTCTCGGTGAGGTAGGTGAAGCTGCATTCGGATGGTGTGACGTTAGTACCGGTTAAGTTTTTTTTTTTACATTGAGGACCTTGAAAATAATTCAAACTCCTTGAACTTTTTCCACATTTTGCTCCTGAGAAAATTTTACATTTAATGTAATCAGGTTCTTTGCAAAATAGCTCGATTGGTTCTGCTGAGAATGGCAGCAGCGTTCTTCCTCAATTTATGCTTGTTTGTACAAGATCAGCTTTACTTTTCTGTTGCACATGGTGTTTAAATGGTGCTCAATACAAATCCTTGCAAAGTTTCTTAATTTAAATAATTTGAAAAGCATTTTCAAATTTTTGTGTTGGTGTTTTACATAGAATTGATGTTTGTAACTTAACACAAAGTTTAAAAGTTCAAGGACTATGAATAGCTTTTGCAGGCACTGAGGTTATGCTTTATAGAAATACAAATCTGTGTTCCCTAAATCCCTTATTTACAGAGTTTGTGTCTGTTCCTGCAAACAGCTGCTTGGCCTCTTTCCACTTGTTGACTTTTTTCCATCTAGGGTCAACCTCTCGCTGCTGATGTACGGTTTAAAGCAACAACAAAAGAATGAGTCTTGCATTTGCCGACCCTGTTTTGGGTCAGTACTTCTCGCAGCCTCAGTCTATGGGCCGGATCAGCATGCGAACGGACTTCATGGAGTAGAAACCGCCGCCGTAGTCGGCCCAGAAGATCCCGTCCTGGAATTTGCTGCGGTACACTCCTCCGGTGTACCAGACACCGTTAAGGTTAGCTTGGCCACAAGCGTTGTACCACCAGCCTCCTTTATGGAAATGGGCACAGTTACCTGGTGATGGGAAACAGGAGGATGGAAAAGTTAATGGGAAGGTGGGTTTTTAATAGAAAGAGTATCTTATATAGAGACAGCACAGAAAAAAATCAGCTTGACGAGAGGTCTAAAACTAATGGATGTGCTACTTCACTAACGTAGTCTGTGTTTACGGAGCTTCTAGGGATCAGGACAGTGTTGACTGAGGTCAAGCATGATTGATTTCCAGGGGGTAGGGACACAGTTTGGAAAAAAGTCATAAGGAGGTTATTTACTTTACAGCAACAACAAATAATCTCCTTGTCACCTTGGTGAGCTTTGGCATGCTTACGGCGCAGAATGAAAAATCGGCAAAGGTCATGGATCTGAGTGAGAGATCATTGTTTGTTTTTTAAAGGAAGTGAATGCTTTGCTTAAGGCTTCCTGGGATTCCAGGCAGGCAGGGGCTGACCCACGTTACATTCAGGGTCTGTCAGAAAAAAAATCATGAGCAGAACTTCAATGCCTCTCAGCTAGTGTCCATGATAAACATCCCTGCCTTCATGTTCAGTTGCTGAGATACAAATTACAACATAACATAAAGTGATTTGCACAGATTTTTTAATCAGCATGTTTAGTAATTGATTTAGTTTAATCAGCCATTTACGTTTGTAGTGCTCTTGTCATTTTCACCATATAATTGGCTCACTACCAAAGAATTCTGACTCATTTTGACCTCTGTAGAAAAACAGAAGTGCTGCTGTTGTTTACACAGCTTTTTACAGAGAAGTTAACTCAATTTCCATTTTATTTTGAATAATCTCACTCTTTGGATTGCTGCTTGACCTTTTCCCTGGCTAGACTTTGACTTAAATAACTTTTATTATCCTTTTCATTTTGTACAGCTTTCAGACAGTGAATTAGCAGCAGCTTAAGCAGTGAAATTAACATTTCCATTCCAAAAAGTGCAGCAGAGATCAAATGACTAACCTGACTAATAAAGATTTATTACAGCAGTTTTTTAAAGAGGTTTAAGCCAGCAGTCAATTTTCTATTCTGGTTCTTTCCTTTTTACTACCATAAAGACTTCAGTTGAGTACAAACACCCGTCTACAATGCAAAAATGAAATTCTGCCTACCATCTTATGTTGCTGTAGCCAAGGTCATTGCATTTTGACTCATTAGGAATAATTGGTAATCCCATTTAGGAGTTTCTATTACACTACACCTATCTAAACCTGTTTTACTGCTATATTTATCAAGTTTGATTATCTTGTTATGATATGAAGCCAAAAAGTACAAATGTTCCTGACTTTTTAGATTTTACAATATATATATATATATATATATATATATATATATATATATATATATATATATATATATATATATATATATATATATATATATATATATATATATATAAGCAATTTTTTGTTGCTGGCTAGCTAGGAAGTCAGAGATGTTTGTCTGAAATGTATTTGCAAAATCCGAAACATGGAGCTATGATCATTCTGCATTATTCCTACAGTAGCAACATCTACTGTATGGTTTTGCACATGTCAACATATTTGCATGATAATTTGAGCATCAAGCTAAATTTATGCTCTAAGGCTACGTTGTTAATATGGTAATGAATTGCCAAATTCCAAAGTAGGTGCAACTTGTCACTAAAATTAAATCTAACCTTTAAAGTTTGGAAAAACTATCAAAAATCCCTACTAGTCTGTAGTATAAGCCCAGATTTTCAGGATACTTGCTTGGAATGAAACTAAAAAGCTGAAAGTTATAGTCTCTCTATATAATCTTTGGATTCCTGAATCTTTCTGCATAAGAAATAGCTACTTAAGTGCACAGAAGTCTTAAACATTAATGTTAGCAGAAGTTGACACCTTTTCTATCAAACAATCTGAGAAGAAAATCCTCTTATACTAAACAGAGATTTCGCGATCAGTTAAAAATCTTTTTTTATGAAAAAGAAAAAATTTTCAAAAATGTACATTATGTATTAGAAGGCAGTCTAAGGGTCATTTACAAAGATCTGTGCAGGTTGAATACATGCGTGAAACTAACTGTTCTTAAATAGCTTTATAAAGCAAAGGAAAATATCTGTTTATGTCATAAAAATGTCTTATTATATACAAAAAACTTTATTTGATTGCAATATTTTAACATTGCACTGTTTATACTTCATGTGCATCGAAACAGGCTCTATAATTAAGAAAGTTAAATAAAAAGTTTTATCTTTTTATAAGAATGATATTGAATGAAACAAAATAATATTTAAAAAAATTAACTAAACTCACCTTTGTGGTTATAAGATTTTCAAGTCAAGTTTTTGAAAGTGTGAAGTATTTAAAAAAAACATTTCATGGTTTAATCTAGTTTTCAGAGTTATGAAAGATTATTCAAACATAGAAGCTAGTGTTTCAAATTATTCCTTTGAGAGGGAAGATTCTTCCTTTTACAGTCTTATCTCATAGATAAAAACATGTGTCAATGATTTAGATAAGGTTTAATAGTGATAATAATAATGCTGAAGATGAGCCACCTGAGAAGGTGTCCTTGTCTCTGTCCAGAGTGGTGAACTGTTTGCCGTTGTGGCTGCTGAGCGAATCCCCGGCGTTGCCCTGGTAGGTACCCAGCCTCAGGCGGTAGCCCTCGCTCTCAGGCTCCAGGTGGAAGCTGTCGTACTGCGCGTAGACCTTTTTATCCATCCAGTCCTCCATCTCTACCATGAGCTTGTAGTCTCCCTGCCGCCCTAACTTGTAGATCGCTTCCAGGCCGAGCCAGTACTCCCCGTCTATGTTGCCAAAGCCAGTCTGGATCAAAGGAAAAATTACAGGGAAGCTTACAATAAGATCACAGGAAATAATGCATGTTGTGTATCATGCGGATCCCTGAAGAGTTTAGAAACATGATGATTATCTGGGAACCTAAAACCTAAGAGGGTTTGTGGGGTTGATAGCAGTGCAAATTAGACATTTCTGTTTGATGGTGTTTTGGCTATGCTTCTATAATTCATGGGAACTTCAAAGAACAAAACAAAAACAGTGTGACGAAGATTACCACTCTACACCTAAAATCATCTAGAAACTCATGCTGTAGTTTACACTGCAAAATAAGCACCTGAATATCTTCGAAATGTGGTTACTGGATCATAAACACCAAGAAATCCACCAGACAGACTACAGTTAAAGATGTAAAGGAGTTCAGGATATAGGTTATCTAAAATACTCCAAGAGTGTGAAGTTTAAAAAAGCATAATTTAGCTATTATCTGAACAAAGGTTGCATATGGCCAAAATTCAAACATACACCGCAAACAAGCAGCCAGTAGGATCATGGTAGCTCTGGAAGAGCTGCAGGGGTCCATAGCTCAGGTGGGAGAATCTGGTAACCCTCCATACATCTGGCCTTAATGGAAGCCATGGAAGCCATGTTTAACCATGTAATGAAGTTAGTTTTTGATTAACAGTTGAACAGCTATGTGTGGACCTTTTAATCAACTATATCTATTTAGAAACACAGTGATGGCAGCATTCTACTGTCAGCTGCTTTTATTACAGACGCAGCTTTAAGCTGTTGGTAAGCTGAATGCATTTGAAAGCAGAGAAATCCTGGGAGAAAACGTTTGGAAGCTGCAAACCAGTTGTGACAAGAGAAGCATAAAAACAACCTAAACATATAGTCAGCCCTACAGCACAGGTGGGTTAAGCACAAATTTCTTATACAGTCCTGTTTCTCTGACTAGCTGGATGTGCTCTCTTCGTCCTCTGGCATGGGAGTTTGCTTGGTGCTCGTCTGCCTGGCTGTGTGTTTCCTGGACAGCTGATTTTTGTGTCTCTGCTTCTGTCTCCTTGAACCCCAGTCAGCCACAGCAGATGGCCGCTCACTCTGAGCCTGGTTCTGCTGGAGGTTTCTTCCTGTTAAAAGGGAGTTTTTCCTCTCCACTGTCGCTACAAGCATGCTTAGTGTGAGGGATTGTATTTGAGTCAATGCAATCAACTGGTTTTCCTTAGAACTTAGAACTGTGTATCAATTTGACTGTATGATCTGGTTGAACTGTAAGGTGCCTTGAGATGACATGTGATGTGAATTTGGCGCTATATAAATAAATTGAATTGCATTGAATTGAATAAGTAAGAGTACCACTACTTTACTTATTTCTAGTGTTGCACGGACGCCATTTTTTGGCCCCTATACCTGGCTGTGCAGGATTGGCCGATACCGATACCATCTGTTTGAAATGTATGTGTGTGTGTGTGTGTGTGTATATATGAAGAACTGCATACTACTTGGATGTAAAATAATTGCCATAATGGCTTTGTCAACCTGCTGCCTATCTTTTTGAAGCAGGACAAAGACTAATACAAAGTTAATCCAGTAGAACTTTAGTAGAATCTGAAAATAGTTGAATTAACTTGTGGCTCTCAAAAAGGTATCATTGCCCTATTTGTTGGTACTCAATAAACTACCAATACCAGCATTTTAGTGCTGGATCGGAGCCCTGTCCGATACTGGTATCGGTATCGGTGCAACACTTCTTATTCCTTTACTTAAGTGAAAATTTTAATGTAGCCATCCAAGAATAAATGAAGTAAAAGTCCACCTCATTTCTTAAATTAAATTCCCTACCATAGAAAGAAAAGCAACTAAAATCATTATTTGCTAAATAGTTGTCACATAAAAAATAAACAATTCTTTGGACTTCTAGCTCAATGTACATTTATAACTCAGGAATATTAAAACTTTTTGATTTATTTCAAATAGAAACAATACGTTTTAAATAACTCAGGATTAGAACTTAAGTATAACTGATAAATTCAGCTATAACAAATAAAAGTTTTTTTTTATGTGGTGCAAAATAATATTTGGAAGATAAAAACTGGGGATTATATCTCAATGTGACTGAAGCTATTACCTTAATTGCTTAATCATAATTGAAACAGAACTGTAAAATTAAATTAATAAAATGAAATGGGTTCAAGGTAAATATCAGCCACTAGGCCTTTTCCAGTGCATATCATCATTAAAATGTTTTTTTTTTTATTATTATTATTTTTCCTTTTAAGTATTATATCTTATTATAGGGGCCATACCTTTAGCCTCGTGAGACCATCCTGATCTCGCGAGCTTTCAAGGTTTCACTCGCAGATCAGTCTGGAGACTCTCCGTTGAAGAAAATTTGGAGCCGTTCACCAAACGAACGTCCAATCAGCGTTGGCTATGAGGCCGGTTGAGGTGTGACGCAACGAGAAGCGCGACAGTTCAGTCTAAAGAACATGGCGGCTTCAGCCGATGAAACTAGCGTTAGCGTGGACATCGAGCAAGTTTTATCGGAATTACAGAGTATTTCTTCACTGAAAGAAGAGCAAAACACTGCTCTGGAGGCTTTTCTCAGAGGAAATATGTTTTTGCTCTTCTCCCGACTGGTTTCGGCAAGAGTTTGATCTATCAATTGGCTCCTCTTCGTCGTCGCTCTGTTAGTACGTCATATGCTTCGTTGATCTGATTGGTTTATTTGGCCCGTCTATCACCAACATAGGCCAATCAGCTAACCAGTATTTTCGCCCCTTCCCAAAATTACTTCAACGGAGTCAGGTTACCATACCTTAGCTATTTAGACCAAAGTTTATTTATGTGTTAAATTTGGCCCAGTCAAAACCTGGAGCTAATGAAATTAAGAGTCTGGGGCAAGATTACATTCTTTATTTAATAGAGGTGCTACAGTTTGCCTAACTGGTTTTGAACTAATTGGCTGTTAAACTTGAAACAGTAGATTTTACTTTTAAGAAATTGTGGAAAACCAGTGCATCCTTTTCTGTTTTTATTCTATTTTTATTAATATACCGGTAGTGTCAATTCACAACACCTCACCTTAAGACACCTTATAGAGACAATTGGTTTAACTCATACAGTCAGACTGGTTAAAAGTTTTCTAATGAAAGAAGGCCGTCTGATCGCATCAAGTACTTAACTTTATTTTCACTTATTAATCATATACTAATTTCTGTAGTTAGGTTGATTTTTTATGTCTATCGCATGTCATTTTCATTTAAATTTGTCGTTTATTGTCGGCATTCTTGTTATAAGTTCAAAATAATGTCTATTTCTGGGCATAGATCTCAAAAACACTTGGCTTGAAAGAAGAGTTTATGAAAGTGGATAAATTGTGAGCCAGAGGATGATGAATTAAAATAGGATTTCAGTATGGTCTACTGTGTGTTTGCGTGATGGTTCTGGCCTTGTGGTAGAGAACAGAGACAATTCAGAGTTGAGGGAAGCAATTTAGCTGCCAGTTACCAAAGCATGATGCTGGCCAGACTGAATGGAGCGCTGGATTGTTGCAGCTGTCAGCAGCGGTGTGATCTAGCTGGGTTTCATGAGGGAGAGAACTATATGGCGCGCTGTATTGGGCCAAGCAGACATCCATCTAGGAAGACTCTATAGTAGAAGTGGGTTTGGAAAGAAACGCCTGCAGACTGAGCTGTGGAACATACCTTTCACATGGTGCAACTGCTGTTTCACGATAGGAATCTTCAAGCATAATATTTTACAGTATCAGAAGGAACAAGTCTTTAGACCTTTAGATAATTATATCAAAGGCACCAGATGGCTTCCCTTAGAGAGAGGTCACATAACGGCATTACTGTCATTCCTGTAGAAGCTGAGCCTCTAAAGTAAGAAAGGGCAGAAAAACAGTGAAGCAAGGTGGAAGAAGTGCGGCTGTCATCACCTTGTAGTTATCCCAGTTCCTGAAGAAGTTAACTGATCCATCTTTCCGGCGCTGGATAACCGTCCACCCTCCGTTGTCGATATCCTGTTCACACCAGGCTTGCACCGTCCTCTCTGATTCATCTGGTTTGATGAGATACATGCCGCTGGTGCTGTGGCCAGCTTCCTGGGCCTCCTGGCAGTCTCTGAACGGGCCTGAAGATAAGACAGAGGGGAACAGGGTGTGAAGGACACGGTCCAGCTGGAAAATGGGCAACAGGACAAACAATCTGACTTTGTGAACTGCAAAGTCATCAGTCTTATGTGGTAACTTTGTAAATGTTTACATAAAGGCAAAGAGAAAGGACAAAGTGGAGAGGGAAGCATTCAAGCTTGAGGATTACTGCTACAGGTATACATATTAATTCGAATTTAGCATAAAATGGGATTGTTCTAGTGGAATTAGCATGGTTTCCTTTATGCTTTGACAAAATTACATCGAAAGGGAGGCTTGGAGATTCTATTATATAAAAAACCCAAAACATTCTCAATAAATTAATGTTATCTTCCTATCATTTTCCTACTAGCCTAACTTGGCTAAACTCTGGCCCCTGATGCAGTTTAATTGTAAGTATTTTTTTCTCAAGCACTACCTCTCCTTATAACCTCAAGCAATCCATGTTTTGGATTGTAAAGATATCAAATGGAGTGAGAATCATTCTTTTTCTCCATTTCTCACCCTGCCAGCATGCAAACCAAAACCTTTTTTCTTCCTACGCACTGTTTAAAATTGGTCATCATAAACAAAGTGAGTCCTTACTGTCTAAAGATTAAATCAGAGTAAGCTTTACTTTTTAAGTCGGTTCGGATGGAGGCTCCATCCGGCCCGAGGCATAAGCGAACTAAGCGGCCGCTTAGGGCCCCCTGGTGGCCAGGGGGCCCCAAGCAAAAATGATTGAACAGGCCCTGGTCAATTTTTTTTTTTTTTTTTTTTTTTTTTTTTTTTTTACATTTAAATAACTTAAACAAGTGATATAAATGATAAATACCAATTAATAAATGAAAAATTCAAGACAAAATAATTTCTGATTTGTCAACAACTGCTCGTGCATTCACTTCGCGACGGCAGCCGCAGACAGCTCATGGTACGCGGCGCGCGCCTGCATTGACAATTCACGCTGGCGCGCACCTGTTAATAAGAAAGTCTAAGCCATGTCACAAAAAAGGATTTATCCCTCTGATGCCGAAAAAAGAAAAGGAAAGAGGAAGAGAAAAAAGAGCAAGATAAAGGTATGTTTGCATGATTATTTACTGACCGCTATATTTTGTGCAGCAGCAGCACAGCTAGCTCGTCATCATAACTCATGTCGTGATATTTATCAGCCATCCATCACCATTAACAGTGAAATATTACCCATCATTAATATACATTTATTTAGGTAGGTGTGTATTTTATGTGTTGATACATATCGGCGTAGGAGACCCAGCACATGCTGGAAGGACTATGTTTCTCGGCTGGCCTGGCCTGGGAACGCCTGCTTGGGATTCCCCCGGAGGGGAGGGACGTCTGGGCCTCGCTATTGAAGCTGCTACTCCCGCGACCCAACCCCCATATAGGCGGAAGATAATGGTTGGATGGATAGATATCGGTTTAAGTTGGAGAAAACACAGATGCCAGCAGCCAGCTTAGCTAGCATTGTTGTTTGTGTTAAAATGAATCTACTAACTTAATAGACAAAGCACATGCGCTCTCTGCTCTAAGATCTTTGGTGAGAGATGGTATTTTATCTTTATTAAAAAATATACCAAAAATGAAAATAGACTGCAGTTTTATTAACATGGTGCTTTCCTCATATTTAGGCTGCAGTAGATCACAATGTTAAGTTTTTACCATATGGCAATTATGCCTCATTTGCCAATAGAATATGAATTGTTAGGTGAGGTGTGGAGTTTCTTGTGGTGCAAGATGGGAAAATAAACTCATTCTACAATAAATTATCAGGAAATTTAGATAAAACCAAATTCATGATATTCGGAAAAAATAAAAAACAGGAAAATAATCCAATTAAAATATCAATTGAAAGTGTTGATTTAGAACAAGTACATGAAATAAAATTCTTGGGTGTCATATTAGACGATAAGTTTAGCAGGAAACATCAGATCAGCCTAGTAAAATGTAAAATAACCAAAAGTGTTGCTGTTATAAGAATTAGTTTGGTCCTGGACTACAAATCTTTGTTTATTTTGTACAACACACTCATTGTACCACATTTAACATATTGTGTGGAAGTTTGGGGGAATACATACAAAACAAATTTACAGCCATTATACGTTTTACAAAAAAAAAAAATCTGAATATTACATAAAGTGGGATACTGGGAACACACAAACCAGTTATTTATCAAATCAAATATACTGAAATTCTGGGACCTGGTCATATTTAGAACTTCACAATTCATGTTTAAGGTCAGAAATCAAAAACTTCCACACAATATACAGAAAATGTTTGGTGACAGAGAGGGGGGTTATGATCTAAGAGGTGAATGATACTTTAAAAAACAACACTTTAGAACAACCAGGAAGATTTTTTGTTTATCTGTGTGTGGAGTAAATATCTGGAATGGATTGAATGACGAGTTTAAAAAAATTATAAATGCAAACCAATTTAAAAAACTGATTAAAACCAAGCTCATTTCAAAATACGCTATATAAGATTACTGTTTAATAGTCTATAATGTAATTGATGACATAAATAGTACTTAAAATAATTGTACATGGCTAAACATCATGTGGAATGGAAACAAGTGTTTTTTTGATGTTTTGACAGTTAATTGATGATAAATTGACAAGTAGGAAAGGGGCGGGACATTATAAGATGTATCTTCTACCTGCTCCTTTTCGAACAGAAAATATAAAATTTGCATGTCACATGGGCAAAATAATTTGTTTTATATTTTTATTCTTAAGTTTGTTTCATTCAAATTTTTTCTTTCTTGATTGTTTTTACTGTCTGTTCGAAATAAATAAATAAATAAATAAATAAAAACTATGCATTATGCAATGCTATTTTTCCCAGGAACACTGTTGAAGTACTTTGGAGAACAACCAAACCTGCCCCTACTGTTTCGAATGTCAGTGCCTCCACAGCTGATGATGCAGCAGGTGAGGGTTTTCTTGATGGCAAATGGTTACATAGCCTGTTAATATGACATGAAACATTTAGCTTTTTATTTATTTCTTTATTTTTTCTTTGTTTGTTTTATCATTGCAGGTTCATCCACTGCACAAGCGACAACAAGGGAGGAGCACTTACATGTGACTGAAAGCGAGGAGCAGTTACAAGCACCTACATTTACTGATCCACTGGTTTCAAACTCAGCCGGCATGACAGGTCTGTTAATCTAAGTTTTTGTATTGTGTTGGCTTTACAATAAAATTTTCTGCTATGGTATTTCATTCTTTTGTATTTAATCTATTGTCCCTACAGGTCCTTCTACATCTGCACCCACTGCTATAGATTTCCCATCCACTGCCTCAACAAGCTCCAGCTATCAAGATGGATCAACAGCTCCTCCAACTGACCCAGTTGAATGGTCAGCATTCCTCTCAGATTCAGAAAGGACTGATCTGGTAAGAAGAGGGCCAGCGCCAATCAGTGACACCTCTACATTCCCCAAGAGATCAGATGGATGAAGCTTTCACTACCACTATACATACAGACAATTAGTTAATGGGGAAAAAAATCAAGCGAAGCTGGCTAATTTATTCAAAGAAAAGTGATGATGTTTACTGCTTCTGTTGCAAATTATTTTTGATATTAATGTTTGTCTATATTGGTTTTATTTAAAATATTGCACATTTAATGCACATTTGCAAATAATTTAATGTTTGTATTCAAAAGGTTTAATAAAACAAAGTATTGTAAGTATTGTTTATTTATTTTGTATTAATACATTACCATAGTCTATTCATTTTTAATATTCCCTATAACATTATAGTGTGACATTTGTGTCAGTAATCTTTTAGTATAGGTGATTCTGCATGGTAGGAGGGGGGGCCCCCAAATCAAATTCTGCTTAGGGCCCCCAAGAGGCTCGGGCCGGCTCTGGATGGAGCTGACTTCCATTTTCTAAATGCTAGAATACTGACAGATTTCTAGTGTCAGAAGTTTGCTTGGGTTTTCTTTTAGTAGTAGAAGTTCATCTTAAACTGAATGAAATGGCTCAAATGTTTTAGGTATCCTTTGATAAATTTTCTATGACTAGATAGCTGGAATTTTGGCCCATTCGTCTGCGCAGAAATGTTGTATCTATGTCAGAGATGTTTACAGCGCTACTCTAACATTTTATATTTATCTAAAATCTTTGTTTTTTGATGGAGACTTTGCAGTCTTTGTTTTTTCTTAAACCGCTCTGTAATTAATACAGCATTATAATGAATGCCATTGTCTATTTGGTGGACCCAAATGGCTGAGCTTTACACTGCCTTCCTTACAGATGTCTTAATATTTTACTTTCATGTTTTTACAGAACTTTCTTTCCTCGCTGTAGCATGAATTCTGTGAAGTGCATCAATCCATCCTGCTGAAAAATCCCCTTTAAAATATGATGATGCCACCCCTGGACATAGTTGGATGTTCTCAGGCTTCCAGGTGTCCTTCATCCATCTTGTACTGCTTGTCTGTAATGGTTAGGGGTGCTGGTGCCTATGTCTCGCAGTCCATTGGAGAGAAACCAATATATACAACCACATGCACAAACACATTTACACCTATTCATGTTTTTGAACTGAGGGGGGAAGCTGGAGAGAATTTATGAATGCACTGAGAGAACATGCAAATTCCATGCAGAAAGGCTCCAGGCTGGGAATCAAATCCAGGATATTCTTGCTGAAAGACAGACTGGAAGTTTCCTTAGAAATGTAGTAAGGTTTTTAATAGATGAACAAATAAAATGTTATTTATTCAGTTTTTATGCTACTCTTTAAAACATAAATTTTTTTCTTCTGTAGGCTGCCTTTTAGCCCAGATAGGTATAGAACTTGTCTAAGTCTTGATGATGATTCTCTTACCAGCTTCAGCAAACAGCTTCTTAATGACTTTTGCTTTTCTTCTGTGGATTCTTACATTTCACATGTATTCCTTTCTTTTTGCAAAAAGTGCAAGAGAACATTTTGAATTGAATTCTACACATAATACTGTGTTGAATGAAAGTTGAAGTAAATGTATCAATCTGGCTTATGCCATGTTAACTGTAAGCTGGTTTAGGGCACAATTATTTCACTGCATCTAAAGTTACGACTTAGATGGAAGCAAAGAACAAGGACCTTTTTTGATTATTCTGACATTTCCCTTTTCAATATAATGTAAACCTTAAAAATGTACATAAAACAGTAAATATTTAGTCTGCTTTGACATCACATATTAAAGGTGATGGCATTCTCTTACATTGTGTAGGAGTAAACATTTTATCTAAGCTGCAAATTTTACTTCAAGTACTGTATGGGGAAATGCATGAACTTGAAATGACCAATGTTTTTTATTGGTCATTGCTGTATAAGGTCCTGATTACTGTGCAGATACGTTGAACATTTGGTGCTGCCTTAAGTCTACTCTGTAAACTCAACTTCAGTCAAGATGCTCTAAATTAACTCAAGATGTTGTCCAAATGTATGGCAGTAAAGTATTTTGCAAACAATGGTCAAAGGTCATCCTTTATTTTAAGGCAACCCAAAGATTACCTTTACTGTTGGAAAGCAAATAAAGTTGGGCAAGTTGACAAATACTTTAGTCTTGAAAAATTAAAAAAATAAAGGCACATATCTTTCAGTAGTTTTTGTGATAATTCATTTAAAAACAACATCATGTCACTTATTTTTTAATGATAAAAAAGTAATAAAATGTGACACTTACTAACCTCAGCCTCACATAAGGAGTAAGGGTAAAACTGGACCCTCTGGAGTATCTCAGTGTCTGACTGTATGTGTGAATGAGCCACTCTGGATTGTACTGTAAAGCTATTTACATCTACAGTCAAAGACCTCCATTTACCATTTACATGTGCCTGCTGCAGATCTACAAAGCAGGACTTGACTTTTCCCCCACTTTAGGTCAAAAGACTACAAATAGATGGATTCATATAGCTGTGCGTACAGAGTTTCTTTAGGGGGTAAGAAGCTCCTCTGTAATTATTGACTGGTATTACCGTAAAGCTATAGTAGACTGAAAAAAATTGGAGTACCATTTACTTAGAAAAAGCTAGGTACAATTTTTCATATAGAATTTATTTGTACATTTAACTCAATAAAATCTGAGCTTGATTTAACTTTCTAAGAAGAGTTGATTGAACAAAGAAACTCAATTTCTCTTATCAAAAAAGGATGTACTTTTGTTTTGCTAGTACATTTTGCATAAGGTGAAGCCAATTTAACTAACAGTCATGTTTTTGGACTGTGGGAGGAAGCCAGAGAACCCAGAAAATACCCACATATGCATGGAGAGAACATGCAAACTCCATGCAGAAACACCCTTAACTTGAGATCAAACCCAGAACCCCATTGCTGCAAGGCAGCAGAGCTACAAACAGTGCCACCGTGCAGCCAACAAGAAATCTATATTTTCTATTTCTGACCTAAACAGGGTCAGACAAGGAAGAAAATCCCCAACACTACTCCTAATATCCAAGTGCATATTACCGGCGAGGACTGAAACAATTAATCTGATTAATCGTGAATATTTGAAATACTCATCAACTAAATTAGTAATCGATTAATCATTACCTGAAGTATTGAAACTTTAAAACATGCCTTTAGCTGTCAGAGCAATCCACTTAAAGCAGTAATTATGCCAAGATTGTAAAAAACTATATAAACATTTTGCATTTAAAGGTATAGAGGGCAATCTTTTATTTCCGGGTGGATCATCTAAATAAGTGGTCCTCCTAATTGTCAATCATTCAAGTGATATGTTTACAGAAGGGCCCTCCTACTTGCTCCTCGGGTTAGCTACCTTTTTCTGCGCGTGCGCACTTTCAGGCGTGTATGTGTGGTAAGCTACGGTTCCACACATTCATTGAAGCTCACCTTTCTTGCAGAGGGTCGTAAGAGAAAAAGTGTCTACATAGAGAAGACTTAAACAGAACGTGTTAGGGGTAGAACGGTTCACAAAATCCATGGTTCAGTTCGGTTCACGGTTTCGTGGTCACGGTTTTCGGTTCGGTTCGGTATATGTTTATTGTTACACATAAAAATTAATGAAAATATCAGAAAAATTAATGAATTGTAATTATTTTTTATGATCCGCGGAAACCCTGGATCATTTCCGCATGTTTTGCTGCTTTGAATTTACTCATCTTGCGCATGCCCTCTACGATCTCCAAGGAACTCAGAGCGGAGCGGATGGGAGCCACAGTGGAGGCTGTATGCTTTGCCTTGCGCAGGCGGTCTGGAGCACAGCGGAGCGCTGACGGAGTATGTGGGATTTCGGGGTTAGCATAACATGTTGGTCGTGTTGCTGTTAGCATAAACAAAACGTGTTGCACATTGCTTGCACACTGTTGCACTTTCATTCACAACTTTCTTTCCGCCGTCATCGTAGGTCACTCTAAATGCAAAGTGGTCCCATACAGCAGACCTATAAAGTGCTGCTGGCGCGTCTTCCAACTCCTGTTCTTTCCCACTCGCCATACCCACACAGTTCTCCACAACAACTGATTTTTTTCTGCTACACCCGGCTAAGCTGCTTCGCTTCTTCTTCTTGTTTACTACTGGTGGTTGGCTTTGGTCGCAGTGTTGCCATACTCCTCAGAAAGGAAAGTAGCTATTGGCTGTGCTATAAGTCGCTGAATGACGTCATTGCCTAATTAGCATAATATATATATTTTTTTTCAACTTTTTTTTTTATTTAACTTTTTCTTTTTTCCCTTGTGGTCCACTAAGGACCTTAAAAATCATGCTAAAACATGAACATTTTGAACCATAACATTTTTTTTTTAATTATTGTTTTTTTTTTTTTTTTACTAATAAGAATTCCCTGCACACACACAGGCTGTGCTTGCCTGCTCACAGAAAGAGTGGATCATGGTCATGTTGGTCAAGGCTCTCTATGGCAGGCTCAGCAACTGAGGGAGCTGACTCCAGAGTGATCAACCTGTGCCGTCAAACCCGGCGCATGCGCGCGGTTCTTTTGCTGTCTGGACGCTGAGGGAACACATCTGTGTCTCTGACTGTAGCGCTGAGAGGGACATCTGCGGAAGCGGGAAAACGGGGTTGGGACGGGAGGAGGCGCCCCACGGCAGTAGCTTTTTTTAAAAAGAGTCGCTGGAGGGGTCTGAAAAGTCGCTAAATATAGCGACAAAGTCGCTGAGTTGGCAACACTGTTTGGTCGCAGTACCGCCACCTTCTGCTCTGGAGTGTACACGCTTCGCCTATGAGAAAAAGGAGCAGCGTATGAACCGAACGAAACACACGCGAACCGAACCGAGACAGTCGAACCGCACGGTTCGGACGGTTTTCATAAACCGTTCTATCCCTAGAACGTGCAAAAGGAGAAATGGGCTTGTGCATGCTCTCGCAAGCGTTTAATAGGCGTTTCCTCTCGGGTGCGGGTACAGGGTTGTGCATGTGGAGAAGGCGGGTCTTTTAAAAAATTTGCGAAAATCCTCCACAATACTTTAAGATAAAAAACTTTTCTTCTGTCAATATAGCTCTATCTAGATCCCCTCATGTGAAAAAGTTTTAGTTTCAACTGATATATTTTTGCAAAAAATGTTCTTTAAGAAAGCTATCCAATTATTAATCGATTAATCAAAAATATAAATGACAATCGTTAGTTGCAGCACTGTTGCATGTGTTAAGTTGGGAACATATTAAAAATGTTTGGTTAATACTACTTGGTAGGATGAATTAAATTCTAATTAATTCTTAGTAACACATCATTTGAAATAAAGGCACTTAGTTACATGCCAATTTGCAGTAAATTTAAAAACAGGAAATATCTACAGACCAAAAATTCCCTTTGTTCACTATAAGCCTCTTTAGATATGTCAAACACTCCTCTGGTTTGTGTTGAGTAAGGCTCCCGTAATGCCTGTCTGAATTTTGTCTAAGCCTCACGCAATGGAACACTCTTTCAAAAGGATTATTTGCCAACATAGCTGTCCTGAAATCCTTCACACTCTATTTTTCTTGGGCAGCGGTAAGGAAAGCGTGTCAGACAGTTTCTGTTGATGAGCAAGATCAAGCCGTTCAAGCCTGTCTTTACCTTGGTAAAGGTTTTCCTGCATTGGCTCAAATTGTACAGCATTTGTGTTTCCATTCTGCTCTGTGTGTCTTCTATTCAGCATGAAGCAGAGTTCCAGCTGATCTTGCACATTTTTAACCTTTAAAATACGGCCTCTGGCCCATCTACTGCCACAGCCTGGGAGTGTGATCCTGTTATTGTTGGCCCTCCAAAGTTATGGCTATCCTACACTTTACCATGACAAGGCCGTCTTGGATAATAGACAGGAATAAATAGACACGGATGATCTCTCACTTACCCTCCGTGCTGAAGTTTCTCTCTGATTTCTGGATCTCAGGCGTACTGCTCGTGGGAGTTGACCCAGACCGAGAGCCCCTTTCTGGGCCAAACCCTCTGGCGTTGCGACTCTGGATCTCGTTGGTGAACCGTGGCACACTGACTGGAATGTTTTCAGGCACCACCTGTACCAACGGAGGTCCTATGGGTGGCTGTTCATGTCTGCGACTATACATCTGCATGCAGTGTTCCTCCAACTGTCCAATCAGAACTGATTGATTGTTCACGATTGCAGACAGTGCTGCATATTTGGCCTCCAGCTCTTTGTACCGGGAGGTCAGCCTTAGTGACTCAGCTGTGGCATTAAGGATGCGTGTCTCCAGCTGGGCCAGCTCCAGTGAGTTGTCCCTTTTCCTTATGATCTCATGCAACAGCTGCATGTAAAGCTGGGTCACTCTAGAGTTCATGTTTCTACTCTCCTTCCTTAATAGCTTCATCTCGTTCACCAGGTTACCATCCACATCCACCACAAGCTTCAAAGTTTCCATCTCCTGACGCTGTTTGGACAGTAGGTCTCGCACCGAAGCTACGTCCAGACGAGTCACCCGGTCTTTATCAGTGGAGTACCCACGGGCAGCACAAATAGGACCTGTGATCTTTTGCTCTGGGACCAAAAAGGTGTAGGAGCATTTCTTGTTTTCTTCAGCAGCTTGTGGAGCTCTTCGAATCCTGGACAGGATGGGGTTCATTTTCAAGGCATGACTGTTGCTCCAGAGGGACAAAGCCAACAGGAGGAAAAGGCTCCACACATCGAATCCCATGACTGCTCCTCTTGCTTCCACCAAACAGCCAAATAATCTGCAAAAAAAAAAAAAAAAAAAAGCGGATAAAAGGATAAGATCTGTGGCTTTCTTGTACTTTTCATTTTTTTGCAACACAGACACCTAATCCATTTGTCCAACACAGCTACATTCAAGATAAACAATCCTTTATGCACTTACTCATGCCTAAGGCCAGTTTAATAACTCCAGCTGTTCTAATACAGTGTTGAATCAAGAGAAAAAACAGGAAACTGAGACAAATATTTTTCTTAAAGAGGAAGATCATACAAACTCCATGGGAACAGTTCATTATTGCAACTTCTGCCGACACTGATCGTTCTTGAATCTATAGCACAAACTCAACTATATTTGTTGAATTATCTTTCGAGGACCAGATTACCTAAGATTGCATCCAGTCTCCACACAGATAGAGCTAAGCCTGGACAGATTTTAAACCAAGAACAAGGACCTCTGTGCTTGAATACTGCCATATTCTCCATTGTTTTGAATAAAAACTATACATCTGCAGATGTATTTTATGTTTTCCCTTGGTCTTTGCTAGATTCCGCGGTTAACCTTGTGCCTATTTCCACAGGTCAAAAGTAAGGCGATAGGATACATGCTGGACAGACTTGATGATTATTACATGATTGTAGAGAGACACAGAGCAAAGGTTACTAAAAATACATTCACTAATACCTACAGTAAGGACAACTAAGGGTGTCTCAATTAAAATTTTTCATTTTTTTTTTTACTTTTTATTGTCAATAACAATTTTTATATCAACACATACATACAGTATGTCCACCATTGTCACATCTCACAATTCACATTTTAATATCTGATTTTTATAGATCATTTTAGACCTTTCACTTACATCAGGCATACAGACTGTCTATTCCAGCTCCGTTAACAGTTATTCAGGGGCTATTGATGAAAAAAATAACAAAAAGAACCTCCAAAAACGACAAATAAAGATGCATTTTCTTCAGGTAGACATTAGCCAAATTAAGAGAAACCCATATTCATTAACAACATCCATGGATTTATAAGTCACAATGATTACGTTATGTTATGTTATACACTTCTTCGTGATCAGCATGACTCTAATCCAGTATTTATTGTCTTTATTGATCATGTCCATGGGAATTATTCCTAAAATATTGACTGATATATCCAGATCTAAATAAATGCCTAAAATATTTTTTATATCTGTTTGCACATTTTTCCAAAACTCAACCACCTTTGGAAAATCCCAAAATATATGAGTAAAATCCCCCACCTTTCCACAGTTTCTCCAGCATAGCCAAGATGTCCCGCCATATTTAGATGTAATAAGTGGAGAGCTAAAGTAACACATCTTGACTTTCCAGTCAAATTCCTTCCATGTTGGGCTGTTGGTTAATTTGTGTCCAGAGCTGAATGTTTCTTCAATTTAATTATTATTATTATTATTTTATTATTATTATTATTCAAAGAGAAAAATAAGGGTACCTAAAGAAAACTGGGTACCTTTTGTGGACATTAAGGGCATCCATATTTAATGCTAGATTAATATGTATTTATTTTATTTATACTGTATTTGGCTTCAGTTCCCTAAAAATCCAAAAAAAACAAACTCACTTTAGCAATGGTACTAAACCACTATTCAAGTCATTTTTAATACTTTAATACTACAAATCTTTCAGCTATCTGTTTTAATACAAACAGAAATAAAGTTACTGCTTTATTTATCAACCATGTACCACATACATCTGAATCCTGTGCATCTGTTATTTTGTCTTTATTGCACTCATTCCTCAATAATATCACCATTAAAATCAAAATATTGTCAACTTTAAAATGACTGATAGAAAACATTTATGACTAAAAACATACAACTATACAAATAATAGTGATATTACAAACAAAATAAAATTTTTTGTTTGCATGGGTTATTGATCATTGATATAGAGTTTTTTTTTTTTTCTTTACTAACATATTAAAATATTCCGTAAAAGTAAAAAAAAAAAAAAGAAAAAAAATCCACTGGACTTGGTTTCCAAAGTTTGAAGATGTTTCGCCACCTCTCCAGGAAGCTTTCTTAATTCAAATGTCTGGATCCGCAGTGAGTTTGAGTCTTTATATAGACAAGGCCTATGATTGAATAATAGACAGGTTTCAGGTATTACAGGCTAACAATGGAACCAAACAACCCATTCGTCGGTTTCTATTTGCATGTTTCCAAGCAATACAAGGCCTCGTCTATATAAAGACTCAAACTCACTGGGGATCCAGACATTTGAATTGAGAAAGCTTCCTGGAGAGGTGGCGAAACCTCTTCAAACTTTGGAAACCAAGTTCTGTGGATTTTTTTGAACTTTTACGGAATTACTATGACCTGGATGACTGAGAATCTTCATCAGCATATTTAAATATGAAACATCATATATAAAAAAAAGAGGAAAAAAGAAGAGGAAAAAAAACAGTGGACTTCTAATTAATACTGCAGTTGGCACATACTTGAACATTTGTTATGCTGTAGGAGGCTAACTTTACAACATCATTTGGGCCTATCAAATTAGTCCCAGATTACTGAGGTATATTTTTCTTCATATGAGTTTACATCTCTTTTTTCCCAGCCATTGCATCACATTCCTTTGAAGTTTTTCTTGTTTTTTGGCTAACTTTCCTTTTTTTTGTTTACTTTCTGAATGCAGTTGTTAATTACAGTTGCTATTTTGCCAACTGTTGCCAGTCAAAGGTTGGTTTCTTGCCATCACTAAGGACTGTTGACATAGTTTGCTGTAATAAAATGTGGTTTAATGACTCCAGTTCATATTATTAACCAGGAGGGAGTCCCTTTTAATTATTTCTGGTATAATCACTAGCATATTTCAAATTTCAACTGCCTTAAATGAAGATTAAACTAAGTCGTAGGAAAAGAAAAAAAGCTTTCAAAAAGTAAATACTTAAATACATAGGAAATAGACACTAGTTTATTGGTACAACATAGTTCATTTTAGAGTAGGAACTGGAGGTAGGAAGAAAAAAAGCCATTGGGAATAAAATTAGGGCAACAAATATGCAAAGCAGCATTTGGATCTGGAGGCCAACTCCTTTCATGGAAACAGCAGGAGGATGATTTTCTATCATTGTTAAACTATGGAGGATCTTGTCGATGGACACTCATTTCCAACTTCATCAGTATGACCTTGATGCTATAATTTGACCAATAACTGAGTTCATAGTAAACTCTTAGGCCTTTTTTTCCCCCTTTCTCTTTCCACCCTCGTTTGGAGTTTATTCACATTCAAATTACTGCTGTGATATCTTATTTGTTAGAAATGCTTTATTTTATGCAAGAGCATTAAAGAAGCATTTCTATATTAAGTTTTCTGTATGGAAAGGAAGGATTACTTGACATCAGTCCGATAGAAACACATTGACAGAAGCGTAGTGGTTAAAACCCTCAAGTCAGACTAGAATAACTTTGCTTTTCATTTGGAAATTGAGATTCCAGAGTCTGCTTGAAAAGTGAAGTGACACAAAATCCATGCTACCTGAAGTCCAGAGGGATCTCTCAAATTATTGGTGCTTATGATGCCATGTATTTTGGTGTTGATCCAGTCTACGTTGCTTTATAAAGTCCATAGTCAGTGCAGCTATCTACCAGCAAAACCTTAGATCACTTCAAGCTTTCTTCAGCTGACAAACTTTAGGGAGATACAGTTTTATTTTCAAGATCCAATACCTTGGCCATGGTTCTCTACCAGAGAAAGGTGGACTTCCCTCTTCAGGTCGGTGGAGAGTCCTTTTCTCAAGTGGAGGAGTTCAAGTATCTCGCGGTCTTGTTCATTAGGGGGGATGGATTGAGCGTGAGAACAATAGACGGATCGGTGCAGTGTCGGCAGTAATACGATCGCTGTGTAGGACTGTTGTGGGGAAGTGGGCGCAGGGGGCAAAGCCCTCAATTTACCGATCAATCTACGTTCCCACCCTCACATATGGTCATGACATCTGGGTAATGACCAAAAGGACAAGATCACGGATACAAGCGGCTGAAATGAGTTGCCTTTGCAGGGTGGCTGGGCGCACCCTTCGAGATTGGGTGAGGAGCTCAGTTACCCCTGAGGAGCTATTAGTAGAGTCGTTGCTCCTCCACGTCGAAAGGACCCAGCTGAGGTGGCTCGGGCAGCTGTTTCCGATGCCTTCTGGTCGCCTCCCTGGGGAGGTGTTCAAGGCATGTCCCATTGGAAGGAGGCTCAGGACACGCTAAAGGGACTATGTCTCTGAGCTGGCCTAGTGTCACCTTGGGGTCCCACCAGAGCAGCTGGAGGAAGTGTGTGGATCAGAAAGTCTGGGCATCCGGGCCCTGGATAAGCGGAAGGAAAGGGATGGATGGATGGATGGATGGATGGATGGATGGATGGATGGATGGATGGATGGATGGATGGATGGATGGATGGATGGATGGATGGATGGATGGATGGATGGATGGATGGTCAGTCGGTCCTTAGTGTTTCTGATTACCTGATCTGACCTGTTCTGCCTCTCAACCACTGTGCCTGCCTGCTTCTGTCTGATCTGTTTGCCTGAACTGTTTTTGGACTCCCGGTGGATTCTGCCTGTTTAATGAACTTTCCTGTCACCGACCTTGATTTCACCTCTGGTACCTCTTTGAACTTCTGATCTCCTGGTTCTGAATCCTGAGCATGTCCTAAACACTAGCTATGGACGGCGCCCACAACGTCTTGTTGTCATCCCACCAGCTGGATACTACCTCGTTCTCTGGGCACGGACTGAACTAGTAAACCACGTTCATAATCTTCCTCTGTCAGATTTATGTGGTCACTAACCTGTGTTTCCTTTCTGCAGAGGTTCCTACAATAGACGCTCTAGCTGCTGCTATTGCAGATCCACTTTTAAAATAAATGCTTTTTAATTATCTGTCTGGGTCCTCCCGTTCTGAGCCATGACAGATTTCACTGCATGTCTGAGTAAAGATCCTTCCTCTAGGAAAATCAGGAAAATGTCTTAGTTAAAGGTTTGTTTGAT